CACAACCCCAAATCAAGTAACGCAGGGGAATATTCCAGTAACACTTTAGCCCTAAATCAAGTAACGCAGGGGAATATTCCAATGACACCGCAAAATAATCGAATAACACCATATAATACTCGAATAACACTTCATTTTTTACAAATAGCGCAGATGAAATATTTCTGTTACACAACGGGATATTCCTAGCTATTGCAATCTGAACTATTGCAGTCTTATTTTTGGTTAAAAAGTAGAAATAATATTTGAACTTTCATCATCTTTTTCGATTTCTCTTCATTGAAACATGTATACAAAGCCTCATACACACCATATAATAATGTGGCATTTACTTACATACCACCCTATTCTTGTGTATTTTCATATCTAACACCTAAACTTTTCTTTTTTACATTTATACCACCCAAATCTTTTATATCTCATCAAAATCATCATCTTTTTAACTTTTAGAAACTGAAGCACACCTTTTCATGCATAGGTAAGATGGTCCGTATGTAAAAATTGAAGTTTAGGTACTACATATGTAAATACATAGGAATTGGGTCGTATATATGTAAATCTTCATATAATTTATTGTTTGAATCGCTCTCCTTGGAGAGTTTTATTTTGAAGACTTTGAAGTTGCCGAAAAAGCGTGAATTATGATTGGGTTATTATTGCTAGACTCTATGGCCCTATATTCTATGCATTAATTGTTTAATTTTTTTTTTTTCAATTTTGCATTTAGCACATTTCATCTTGCAATTTCCATTGAATTTCTTAATATGTAGGAAGAAGATATCTGACTTATACGTTACCTGGTAACTGGGTTGTGATATATTCTTGGTTGTACTCCATTACTTCCTACTCGTGAGTTTTTCCTCCTAAGTTAAACGTCTGTTGTATAATAAAGTTTAGAAAATATACACATTGGATGTGTAAATAAAATTAAGGTTGGAGTATTATGATGGTAGAGTAGACCTTAGGCAATATGCAACGAAGTTATTCAATTTGCTTTGTGTAGAATAAGTTTCATACCGAAGCCATAAATCATCAAGAAGTAATGACAAATGAGGATTCATGAAGCCAATCAAGGTTGCATGCACCATCATGTTTCACTGGTTTCCATGTAATTTTGTCTCAAATTAGAGCTCTGTTACAACTGCATACCATTCAACTTTATGTTTTATATGAAACATTTAATGCGTGCTATTATTTTTTTTGACTTTGGTTGCTTTCATCACAACCCTTACCTTCACTGTTTACCATTTATGTTTGACTCCTTACCAATGTAACGAAAGCTTCATCAGACGATTCTGCTTAATGTCTTCTTCATTTTTTGCCACATTGCTGCTTCAGATCTTCATCCTACATCCATATATTTATGTTCAGTCAATGAGAGAAACTAATTTCAGTTTTTCTCTTCCTATTTTTATGCTTAGGTATTCTCTTGAAGGGGATCCATATGGGCATGACTGGGTTGCTCCTGAGTGCGATTTATCCATCAGGACCGGTTGGTTTTGGCACAGTTCTCAAAACCCTAAGTCTCCCATAACCCTACTTGACAAATACTACACTTCAGTGGGCAGAAACTGTCTCCTTATACTAAATGTTCCCCCAAATTCATCTGGCCTCATATCTGATGAAGATATTCAGGTTCTTCAGAATTTTACTGCAATGAGACAAACCATTTTCTCACATAATTTAGCTAAGGATGCCATTGTTTCTGCCACTAACACAAGAGGAGGTCCGAATGAAACTCATTTCACCCCTTCAAATGTAATTGAAGAAGGTATTTACTCCTATTGGGCTCCCAATCCCAAAGAGCTCCAAGCTAATTGGACATTAATCCTGGACCTCAGACAATTGAAGTCTTTCAATGTGTTGCAAGCCCAGGAGCCAATTCAATTGGGACAGCGTGTAGTTGAGTTCCATGCTGATGTTCTCACAGAAGGAGGGGTGTGGAAAAGGATAGCAAATGGAACAACCATCGGATATAAAAGACTTGTACTATTTCCTGTTGTAAAAGCTCAGTTTTTGAGGCTTGTTATTGACAAATCTCGTGCTGATCCACTTATATCCTATCTGGGCTTATATTTTGACCCCTATTCCATGACGCATAATCTACTTAATACAAGTAGAAGGCCTTCTTTTGACAATATCAGGGCCATCGATCTGAGAAGTAATAAAAATTCTAGCAGTGTGACTGTACATAGTTATGCATGATTCTCTGCACTGGAACTTGCATCCTTGAACTTCCACTTTCTATGAGTCAATGGAAGAACGCCTATAAGAAGGATAACCCTTCTAAGACTTGTTCTATCCAGTTTCAGGTAAGGCTGTACTCATCAAATCTATAATAGGTATGTTATCTGTTTGCTGCTTTGTTTCCTCAACCCAGAGTTGTGGCTACGAAGAATCTCTTGGTATGTCTTTGTTATTGCATTATTCTGAGTAATAAATAGTGGCCTCGATTTATTTTCAGTTACAGTTCAGGTTGGAAAACCAGACAACTTTTTATGTGTTGTCTTTTTCTTTCTGTTAATGTTGTGGTGCGGAAGGCGGGCATCTTGAATAGTGGCTATTTTGGTGCTTATTTTCTTTAACTATCATTGTTGTGAAATGTTGTATCAGATTGATTGAGCTCGCTCTGGATTCTTATTTCGCTCGTATTGATTTCTCAAGTACATTAGCCGTGTGTATGCATATTTGAATAAGAAATACACTATATCCTTTAAGAAACAGATTAATATTGTTGTTATATGTACCTCTTATGTTTTAGTTTTCTTAAAGGCTCTGGATTAAACTACGGAATCAGGGTTTGTCCCTTACCTTACAGGTGTAAGATAATGTTTATTTTATTCTGATGTCCTATTCCCTATAAGGGTAAGCCCTAATAGTTGATTACATTCTCAAAGACTTGAGGCCTAAAGAGAATTCTCGATTAATATATTGTCTTATACTATCGAAATTAAAAGGTTAGGCTTTCGAAGTTGAGGTGTCAGAAGAAGGATGTAGGTTTAGAGTTTTGGAAGAATTAAGGTCAAATGGGATGAGACTTATAGTTCGATGATATTGTGTCATTAAAAGGCCAAATAAAGGGATTTAATCATCAATGGAGGAAGGTTTACTCAAAGGATGGTGATTGAAGAGTTTGAAAAATAAGAGTAGCGGGTTTTGATTGATCAGATGAGGTCTTAGGATAAGATCAAGATTGATTGGTTTGATTGGTCTGAAGTTATTGGAGTCTGAATAATAGGGCCAGGTAGAAAGTATTTCTAGATGAAAATGAGGTCCTAATTTTAGAACACCTTTAGTTTCTCTATAAAATCTAAATAGGTGGACTAACCTAGACTTTGGGAATAACCCCCTCGATCAGGATGCACATGATTGTCTATCATCCTAGTTGATATCCTTCTACTACAACCAACCTTATAACTTGAAATCCTTCTTGACAACCACGATCATGGGTTGTGTAGATTTTCTTAGTTTTAAGGCAGTTTGAAATGTCATTGTTGGTAACCATAGTTTACTTTATACTAGGGCATTTTTATTAGTTTCAGAGGGTGATGTTGTTGCTTTACCTGTCTTTGTTCTTAGCATTAACTAGGGTGCTTACTTGACTAACCTAGATTTCTATATTTGGACTAGCCTAGGTATGTGCGTGATCCTTAGTTCTTGTGTCTAAGTTGACTAACCTAGAGTTCATGTCACATTTTCCTAGGTTTAGTTCTTATTCTTTCTGTTGGTGGATTTCATATTTTTGCTTGGAGTTCAATATTTTGTTCGTGATTTGTTTTAGCTCTTAGGTTTTTAATTGAGATGAATATCAAGGTTCTCATAAGTGTAAGGATTTCCAATTACTTCTCTAGGTTGGCATTCTCAGTTTTAATTATTTTAATTTATCCTCAAGTTTTATTAAATGTTCATGATGGGAACCATCATGTGAGAGGTTCTTCTCCTTTTTTTATCCATTTGTTTACTATTTATGTTTATTTTTAAAAGATAAATACACATGATACAAAATATGGACTTTGAAACATTAATTTTTAACTTAATACAAATAGAATAATACAAGGCATGACTTAGGTTTAAATTGGTTTAGACTTAGGCTAGGGGTGAGCTGAGGTTTAGCTAAAATGGTGCTTGGTTTGGTTTGGTTTGATTGGATTCTATTTATGTTTGACCTGGGCTGAAACTAGGTTGGACCTAGGTTGGCATGTGTTGACTTGGGTTAGACTTGGGTTGAACTTGGGTTGGACTTAAGTTGACACAGTTTGAACTTGGCTTGACCTAAGTTGGACTTGAATTGACCTCAGTTGGACCTCTTTTGGACATGGGTTGAACTTGATTTTACTTAAGTTGGATCAAGGTTGGGTCTGGGTTGACCGAGGTTGGATTTAGGTTGGACTTGTGCTCAACCTGGTTTAAACTAGGTTGGACCTGGGTTGAACCTTGTTGGACCTTGGGTTGACCTAGGTTAGACCTAGGTTTACTTGGGCAGAAGTTGGTTCGCCTGGGTTAGAATTGAATTGATCTAACATGGATTAGACCTAGGTTGGACTTGGGATGGACTTGGGTTGACTTAAGTTGACCTTACATATACTTGGGTTGGACTTGGGCTTGCTTGGGTTGGACCTGGGTTGGCTTGGGTTGGACCTGGGTTGGCTTGGGTTGACCTATGTTGACATGGGTTTGAAATAGTTTGACTTGTGTTAGACCAAGGTTGAACCTAATTTAGACCTAAGTTGGACTTGTGTTGACCTGGTTGGACCTAGGTTGTTATGAGTTGAACATGGGTTAACCTTGGTTGGACCTGGGTCTGGTTAGGGTTTGTGTTAGGTCAGGTTAGGCTAATTTGTGTCTAGCTAAGCTAGACCCAAACCTAAGTCTAATCCAAGGCTATTTAATTCGATTAACCTGAACTTAACTAAACTTAAAAAAATATACAAAATAAGAAAAGAGTAGGAGGGAAGAATCATACTGGATAGGAGGGCTGCAGGTGTTCATTGAAGTAGGAGGTGCTTAATCCAATTATTTCGTGCCCCTCGATGTTGTTTCAAAGGTGGGTAAGATGGGGCCTATTTATGGAGAAAGTCGTTGTTACCCACAGATCGAAACTAATGACTGCCTATTTGGGTAGGGATTAATGGAAATGGTTTCTCTAATGGTGAGATCTCCTATGGATCATGAATGATGAAACACGTATCAATTCGATGTCTTATTCATGGAAGAAGGCCACAGATTGCTGGACTGGCTCGAGGTGGTAACCATGTGAGCATCAAGCGCAACCACACTCCAGAACTTCCTTGCATGGCCATGCTCAAAACTGGCATTGTCACATCTGTCCAAGGTGGTGTGGCATGCAGGCATGCATGCTCAAGGTCGTAAATGAGTGTGCACACGTGGGTCTCTGCTTTGATGGGCACACAAGTGCGTGGGCGCTTATGCTCATGTGGGTAGAGCTTGTCAGCTTGTGATCTTGATCAGAACGATAGCATTGGCCCATCCCGATAAAGGAACACCCAAGGATTTCTGACATATGACAATCTTAGCTTACTATCTCCAAGCTAAAGGCAAATGAGGTGAATATGTGGGTCCTATCTCATGAAAGTTAAAGTTCTTACTAAAAGCTAAAGTGAACCACGAACTTAAATAAATTTTGGATTTGAGATTGATGTATTTTAGTTTTGAGTTTGCCTTGAGTTCGAATGAAGGGTTGATCGAAAGTGAGGTCAACAGTTACAACCTAAGTCAAAGGTATTTCTGAATAAATTCACCACCATACATTCTGCCATTAATGTACCCAAAATGCCTTAAAAATTTGGGCAAACAATTCTCATAAGTGTTTTAATACCTTTAAGGATCTTTTTTATCACTATCGTATTCATGGATACACCAGACCAAATGATGAGCTATGTAAAATTCATAAACTAAATTGTAGAAAAGATAGGAGAATGTTGAAACATTGATATTAATAGATTGAAACACTACCAAGGTTTAGCAACAATGAAAATTGCCCATAAAATTAAATTATTCCTGTGGTTTTATTGTATTGTGCATAATTAGATGCAAGTAGTTTGACAACACTCTATATGATTTGGGAACAAGCATCAAACTTGTCCTATTATCTATTGTAGGAAGCACATGCTAAGAGAATTTAGGCTCACCATACTATTACTTTAGTTTTGTAACAACTTAGTTAAATAATACAATCTTGCTCATCATGAGCGACAACATGCGCAAGAAATTTCAACTCCAATTCTCATGTGCATTCACATAATATCTTGTAAATTTTGTATGACCTCTGCGAACTATCAAATGTCAAAATTTTGATTCTCTTGAACTTGACATATAATGTTATTTTCACTAAGGGTAAATTGGTGAACCATTGTAGAGCAAAATTTCTGAGCGCTATGAAGATATATGTCATTATAGCACATCATTAACCTTTATTTGAGAAAATTTTGACTACAATAAAGCTATGTGGATGATGGAAAAAGAAATTCCATTGTATGATGTCAAAGCTGAAATTTTAAACTTCTCTTGTTCTTTAGCCTCCATGTTCTTCTTGGAGAAGCCATTTTCTAATTACATCTTTCTCTTTAACATAACTTAGACTCTGTCTCCCCTATGATCGAAGGAAGAAGTAAGTTCACTATTTGAAAAGTAAGTCTCATCATCTACTATTGGAGTCGAAAGTATAGATAGATTCTACAGAATCAAATGGCATCTCAACATAAGGTTTCACCCTTGGCAAATACTTTAGGTTTTATCTAATCATTGTCTTCATCTTCTCGTATTCGTTCATCTCATACATAAAATTATATAGTGCACTCCAGATCTTGTGAGTCATCTCTATTACTTGGTTTAGTTTCACAAAAAGTTCATCTCCTAGTTTATAACATGATCCACACACACCAAACATTTGAGGCTGTGGAATTCTTAATTGTTAGTTGACTCACACCAACAATACAAGAGCATTTTGAGAAGAGAAGAAGAACAAAGAATAGAAGAAAAAAAAGTATGTAAAGATGAAAGCTCTAAAGTTTATTAAAAAGTGGTGTGGAGAGGTTTCATGTTGACACCTTCATAATTGAATTTCACACTTATAGGATTTGGGTCGGTTTGAGTTGCGCTACATAAATGATCACAAAAAAAATAGAAAAATACATGTTCTTATACATTCAAACTTATAACATAATATGTTGCTCATTAACATCTGA